TGACATATTTCAGTGTCCCGTGAGCGTTGTAGGTGTTTACTCTGAAATGTCCTAACCCACGAGCTGGTTGAGTACCAGCAAATTACACGCAACTCATGGATTGCGTTAACGTTTTCCCACGCATTTTTTTTAAACTCCAAGAACATTATTTCCAGTCGGATTATTTCACGCAATAATCTGCTGATCGTGGCTGGTATTAAATGTGCTCCCTGCTTTTTGAGTGGCTATCGGTGGTAGATTTGTGCAACTTGTGAATGTTTTAACGTATGTATAATTCTGGTCAATTTACGGATAACGCGTCGTTCTATCCATTGAACTATCCTGCAACTGCTGCCGGAAGAAAGTAAGGAAACCGGTTTGTAATAATAATAGTGCATTGGCTAACTCAGATTTCCTTTGCACAATATAAACATATAGACCTAGGTAAATGATGGAAATTTGAGATGAATTCCCTCTATTATTTAAATTACAGTTAAAATACAAAGAGGCATTGCCTGTAATTTACTCAGTGTCTGCAATGTCCTGTTACCCACAGGTCAGCTAAGCCTCCATTTGATTTACCCATGTCTGTTACAGGTAATATAATAGCAGACCCCAGAATGTATGAGAATGATTGTGCTCAACACACGCCCGATGGACATGTAATCACCAACAGCAAATTCAGCGATGTGCACGTGACCCGACGTTAATCTGAACATGTTAAGATCACGTCCAATCATACACTACTACGTACTTGATATTTATATCCACTCTTATGTTACTTTATATAAAGTGTCGGCTAAAAACAGTTAAGTTTGACTCGAATACATCAATGGCACCGGCAAGTATTTTCTTACATGATTCAAAAGACTGCGTAAACGGTGCTTTTATATTCATTCAACACTACATTTACACTGGATAGTCATTATACTAATTATTGTATGCTATTCTGATTCAGAAGTAGTGCGTCGTGTTTAACGGCAGCAACCATGGTGTGCATGCGGGGACAAAGCCGTGCTTTTCAGTGCATTCCTCATCAGACTGCGAGATGCTCTCCCTTTCAACCACTTCAAGATAATGTGACCTGCTGTCACGTGTGATTACTCTGAGAATGCTGCCCCCTTCACACTCGTCTACGTGTTCATCATTTATTTGCTGTTGTTGTTGAAAGTACCCAATGGCTGTGGGTTGCTCTCCAACACAAGCAGTGTTCAGAAGCAGTGATAAATTGGCACATTTGTTCACTTGACAATTTTATTAATTGACGTTCGGGTGAAAGAGGGTGTACAATACACATCTTACTCACGCGATCTGACTCAAAAATCAATTATGAATCATATTGGTCGCAGAAGCCTACTTGTTAAATTCAGTCCATGTATATTGCCCGATTTGTTTTAATGTTCCTGTCTATTTGTGGGTTGGGAAAGTGGCGTGCACTGCGCTACGAAACCAACAACCTCGGTTCAATTCCCAGCCAGGGCTAACGTCAGTGGTGAATGGATATCATCAAAACTGGTCATGCCTCCCCTCCCCCATTTCACGAACTCACTCTGACCAGTAGAGTGAAGTATGGTTACAGAACCCCGACCAACAGGCGACATGGTGTGGGGAGGCCTTCATCCAACCAATGGATTGACAAAGGGCTGGGAATTATTGCTGATACTTTGTCCATATACAGCACAGTACAGTCTTTCTCCAGCAGAACAGCTTGTTTATAGTAACGAATTCACAAGTTATATTCCCTCCACCAGCTGTCTGTTGTTACTTACCTCGTATGCGAAAATGTTCATTCCCCCCACAGAAACATCCAACGTGTCGTTATTTCAACACTAACGAATGTATAGTTTTATCAATGTTTCAATTATGAGGTTTTTCTTCACTGGAATTGGAGTGTAAATATTGAGTGTATTTTTTGTCTCGGGGTTGTGTCTGTAAATGGTGCTTTTAAATGAATAAACAATACGAAACGATTCGAGGAGGTGGAGAGGTGGCGCAGTGGTTAACGTTTTGCTATGAACGAAGTGGTCTGAGTTTGATTTCTGGCCATGGCTAACATCAGTGACGAGTGATATCAGAACTGGTTCTGGGAATCCCCTTCATCTGTACTGACCAATGGAATGAATAATGGTCATAAAACCACTATGACTGGTACGAAATGAGTTGGGGGGGACCTTCATCCAGCAGTGGATTAACCAAGGGGTTTTAAAGTAATAATTAAAATCTTAGGGAGTGTGTGTAAGTTGGCCCCTTAATAGACACCATGCTATTTATGGTCTTTATTTGAAAGTGTAATTACTGTGCACATCGAAAACAATTTAAAATCTTCACTGAAAATGTTCCATATGTAATGGATCAGATTAAAGTCAGTGTCCCCACGCTGTTAATCTCCATAGGTGGGCCTGATGCAGTGGTGAAAATTCCACATTCTTATCACAAAGACCATTCTCATCATAGGAAAACTACTGCTGACCTTCCACACAGTGGTACAATACTCTGGACACTGAATGGACAATGGGCAACATTGAACAATGCTATTTAAACTCACAACACCACCTTATGGTGCCTTATTGGTCACTCATTCACCAGTTCAATTTTCGTGAAATCTTATTTTATCATTTCTACTTTTGGTCAATCTACTCCTAATTTGTCTGTGAATGGATTGGCAAATTGTTTTTTTGTATATTTTTTTATTTGGTTACCTTTCATAGTGTTGATGGCTGTGGTGGTGGAGATGGTGAGATGGTAAGGTCGGCTCAGCCACAAATGAGTACCTGGTGCGATGTGTAAACGTTGCGACTAGAGAGACAAAGGCGGTGTTGGCCACCCCCTCGTGTGCCATGTCGGCCTTCATTGGTGCTCGCTAACAGCACTTGCCCCAATAGCCTGTTCAGCCTATACGGGGGATAATTTTCTTTGTTTTTGGAAATGGTGGAGATGGTGATGTAGAGCGGTTGTTCACTAAAAATGCTCAACATTCCCAAGGCACACACTCCACTTTTCCCATGATCGGCACAATTACATCATGTTAAAGTTTTTTTATCGTGTGGTTAATGCAGCACATGCAATATTTCGATTTATCACGTGACCCAGTTATTTTTTCCCCTCTGATTTCTATTTCCTTAATTGTTTTACTTTGTTTTGCTTGTTAGTTTGGTGATCCAGGTCACTTTGCAAAACAGACTCCGATTCTGGTCTCTTGAGTTGACATAGTTAAACAAAATGAGCTTGAAACTTGAAAACATGGGAATGATTTTAAAGGTAAGAGGCAATTCGTGAGGTTTTCAGGGGTACGGCAAATTTATGGCCACCAGTCTGAACGTTGAGGTAGCCACTATCCTCCCTGCGCCTTAATATTATCACGGTAAATGCATTTTAGAGGTTACATTGAATCATTATGCTTTTACAGCAGGTCTACTTGCCACCTTGCTCACTACTCCTGCATCATCCTTGTGGCACTACGAGTGGCTACGTGGCACCGCAGTATGAAAAGCCAATTCAGTCATACTTTTTGGTTTTTTCGGTAAAGTCACGTAGGTAAAAAATAAATGAAAACTCAATTAAATCACGACGTTTCGGGCGCAACAGGTTTAAGAGCAGTTGTGATTTCGCTACGTTGTCCCCACCTGAAGAAGGACGCTTGTGTTGCGCCCGAAACGTCGTGATTTAATTTAGTTGTTTTCATTTATTTAATTTTTTACCCACGTGACTTTACCGAAAACAACGAAAGGGTATGAATCCTTGCAGTCACGAAAGCTTCAAATCTAGAACCAATTCAGTCACTTTGTTACACAAGGGTGGTTTTACTCTCGGCATATGTTTGTCCCCCATGATGGCCCGAAATAGCTTTAGAAATGTATGAATTGTACTTCGCGTCAGTTCTGTTCTATGGACATAGTTCATACACTCACACGTGTCTTAACAGGGCTTTTTAAATTTGTTGGGATTTACCGTATTTTAATTGCAATCGTACTTACTATCAACTTTACATTAACTGTCTTTGAACAGGGAAATGTTTAACAGTTGTCCTTCATATCCCATAGCATGTGCATGCGGTTTCATAAGCACGGCAAATGAGTTTCAATTGGAGTTTTACTTTAAATTCAATCGTAATCATAGAAATGGCTATTTGATATTGACACAGGGTGTGGTGCCATAGCGATTTAAACTGGAGGGTAGGGGAGGAGGTTCTGTTTGGGATGTGGCCCACAGAAGCCGTGGCCGGTCGAATTTACAAATACAAAGATCCCCCTCATGTAACTAATACCAGTGGTGGGGCAAGTTCTGTTATGAATCACCTAATTAAGACCTGCGCGGCACACAGCCGCCTATGTCTCCCCAGTGCTGATGTTTAAACTGTACTTTGCACTTGCTATTCAACCAAGGGGAGAGGGTCTGGAGCAGTTCAAATAATGGAGCAGTTCAAATAATCGCCTCGATGTTAACCGTGGCTGGGATCAAACGCATGTTTCTAGGTCCATAAGAGTGTGCTAACCACCCACAGAATCTACACACTTACACGCACATGCCCACAGGGTGGCCTTGACAAGGTACCCTGCTAAGCAGCATACACACGGTAACTTACACCCTGTACGACACGTTCAAGAGCTACTGGGTTCACAAAGCGGTAGTGGTGACCAATCCCGATGTCGCATATATATCCACCAAATTGCCACTGGAATCGTGATGAGAGCAGCTGACGTTAATGCAAGCCTTATCATTGTTACCAAGGTTAGCATTCGTGAAAAAAAAATCTTTTACTCAAGTGTTCCCATCTTCTAATTAATCTGGAAATGCCGCTTCAGCAACTTTTCATTAAGAAACAATGCAATTTCATTACAAAGGGTAAAATTGTGTTATATGGCAGGTGACATTTGCTGCAAAAAATATATATAACTAGGACTTATTATGTGATTTCATCTGCAGTCAGAAGCCAATAATTGATCATGCCTCCTTCGATTTGTGCATACCTATCCGCACATGTTATGTCACACGTTTTTTTTGTTATGGGAAAGAAGCAAACATAGATTAACAACCCTTTTATTGCTAAGCAGTTGCTAAACATAAAAAAGAATGTTTCAACAATGAGCAAATGAGTATAAAACAAAAGTATAAGTAAATATTCAAAGTGTGTTACAGAAAACAGCATTTGGAAGCCACCATGGCAGGTCAACACATGAGAGGAGCTGAGGCTTTGCTGATCGCCCAACACCTTCAGGAGGAACAAAGGTATGGCCACAAGAAAATGAGCCGTGAACGTTGCAACTTGTCAGCGTGGAATGGACAAAATGAGGTATAGAAGTCTATCAGACGACAGCGATCTACCAGAATTACACGACGCACAACATCCTAAAATGTCTCCTTCTCACGTAGCTGTTCAGGCCTTGTTGTGCGACCGATTTATTTTTTAATGACACTTTTTGTCGTATTCACAAAATGAACATGTTGGTCGCGTCTGTGACCGCGCACTTTGTGCAATGTGTGTGCGCGTGCATATGCAATATAGGAACTTCAGCGACAAGTCTGGATTTACTATGTATGTGGTGTTTAAACAGTTGTGATTTGCGTCAAAACTAAAGTCAGTTTGCTTCGACAAGAACAATATTTTTATTCATTGATTTGACCTTGTTAAAGAGAGGTGCAATCTTAATAGCTTGTGCTGGCTACTTAAGTACGTAAACAACCGTTATCTTAAATCTTAACGATAAAAAATAAAGTAAATTATTATATATATATTTCTCCCTCTTGTGCTGTTTTTGTACTGGATTATATTTTTCAATCAAGTTAAATAATACTAGTAATTTTTTCATGGAAAGTGTGCTTTTTTTGAAGAAGTACATTAAATGTAATTAGATTTTATTTGTCAAATGTATCTCACAAGTATCTGTGGAATGTGATATATATGCTATATATAATACAAATCTCTCCATCATAACCTCTTTTGAGCATTAAAATGTTCAAATGATTTATTGGATATGTCAGTGTGCTTGGTTGCAATTGAGCATTTATAATCCATATTTATCTTTAACAGAAATATAAGAAACATCTAATATGCAGTCTGTCAAATTCTATCTAACATAACAGCATCTGTGAAACATTTGCACCCACTTAACTTCAACATGTTATACGCAATTGTTCTGCAAAATGCTCCAGAATAAAGCTGTCCATTTTTTTTTCTTTTAAACTTAGAAATCTATTTAGAGGATTTGCAACTTTCAACAATGACATTTGTATACACAGCAATGCAAACAGCACGGAACATTACTGAGAAACAACACTAGAACATTTACAGTTTCTCATCATTATGTCTTTGTACACCAAATGTCCCCTTAATGATCACCTTAGATACCAGTTACATGCTTAAGCATTAAACACACAGACTTTAAAGGGATATTATGCAGTTTTTTTTTGGACAAAGTTCACTTGGTTTCTTGAACACCAATAAGTCCATGACGGCAGTTCATTTGCAAAAGGAAGAAAATAACAAATAAGCATAATGGTCGAGGAAAGTAAAGTCTTTTTTGCTCTCTCTTGAGTAGTATAACCTACAATCCCGAGTCTCTCGTGTTCCATCTTCTATTTTTTTTTTAAGATGCAAATTCTGTATAATTTATATACTTTTAAAATTCCTTTCCATTATTCACTTTTCTTTTATTTCATCACCGCAAAAATCATCCCATCAGCAGTCCAAATAAGAGTCCCAGCGGTCTCTGGTTTCGCATCCTCTCTGTTGCCGCTGTTCTTTCTCTTCTTTTAGACGTAATACTCTTTCTCCTTGTTCTTCTTGCTTTTGCCAGAGCCTTTGGAACTGTTCGTCGGCTTCTCCTTGACCACTGCCCCATTGGTCTGTGCCGAGTTGCTGATGTAGTTGCGGCTCTCGTCGACATGGTAGGAGCCCTCGTCGCGGTTGCGATATTTGTACATGGCGTAGAGCAGGATAAGAATGCAGAGCGCAGCGGCGGCGATGATGCCCACCACCATCCCCGTGGTGCTGCTGGACTCGCGGATGACCTCCCGAGCGCCGGGGGCACCCCTGCCCAGCCCGGCGTCAGTGGGGTTAGCTGTGGGCACATTACGGAACATTGGCGAGGTTACAAGGGCCTTCCTGAGCTTTGGGTTCTCTCTGTCAAAGCCCGTTGGGAACGGGAGCAAGACGCCGTCTGGGTAGGGCTTCATATTGCCAGCAGGAAGGTTGTGCACCGCCATCTCGGGCGTAGCGGCGGGGCCTGAATGGTCAGGGGAAGCAGAGGGGTTCCGACCGCGTCCCACACTTGGTGGCCTAAAGCCCTTAGCGTCGAGCTTGGGGTCACGTGCCCTCTGGCTGCCATCAAAGCCCTTGGCACGGTCAAAATCTTCGTCGTCTGTAGGGGGGAGGCTAGAGTCAAAGTTTTCCCCCGAGCCAAAGCCCGAGACAAGAGTGCTGTCCGTACAGTCATCATCATCCTGATCCGAGAGGCAGGGCTGTGCTGCCCCAGGGGACAGAGCCAGCGACTCTTTGGTGGTGCTCAGCACGGTGTAGTAGGGGCGGTAGGTAGGGGGAGGGGGGATGAATGGTGTGTGGGTGGCTAGTGGAGGTGTTTCTAATGGGTCTTCTGTTATAACTGGGTAAACTAGATCGACTCCTGCAGAGAGAAAACAGAAAGAGAGGAAGCGTAGTCAGGCCTAATGAAGGAGGGGGCCCACACTATAAGAGTAAGTAAAGTGAGTGTAAAAAAAACCACACACAACATCAAAACTATTTAAATACAGTTTACAAATATAAAGCTTGATAGTAGCAACAAAGTTTTTTTTAAAGCAATTATAGGAAGGAGCCACTAAAAACTACAAAAGACAATAAGTAACAAAGGTAAAAGAAAGTCAAACATTTACAAAGCAGGGCGATTGGGGTTTAAATAAGCTCATATCTAGAACTTCTTGAATTTTTTTTTATCAAAAAGGCAACTGTTTTTACATTAATATTAGCCCGATAGTCCAAAAAATAAAGCTTAAACACATAATTCAGTCAACTTACATCAATAAATTGCCCGCATGATTTTTGCATGAAGAAAAAAATGTGTAAAAGTTGCATAATAATGTATTTGGGAGAACAGTCTTTTCGTAAACTGTGCAAACATTGCGAAGTTGAGTATGAAATGGCATACAGTATACATTTTAACGTCCAGATAAAATAAACTGGCATCACACTGATCTCTGCACAAAAAAATCCATTATATCTGAACACGTTATTAGTAATGCCTTCCTGGGTGAAAATTTCAAATCGATTTATTGTACCAATGAGGCATAATTGTTTTTATAGATGCAGCACTGGCTAAATGCACGTGTTCAATTTTTGTCTACAATGTGAAAATTCCAGCCTTTTTTGGCTTTGGAGTCATTCAAAGCAATGGATAGGTGGGACAAGCTTACAATTAGACTGAACATAGCGCTGTTGTACTCCCAACTACCCCTAGGCATGCAATGCATGATGGGTTAGCAGGAGGGCAGTGAACATGAGACTGATTTGCCGTGTCCACGTGTTTGGTGAACCAAGCCCCCTGCCGGCATTTGAGCTTTTTGCTGTTAAAGGAAAGGAAGGAGATACACAGACGACAATGAGCATTCACACTCGGGAAAGCAGACAGGGGGCAGTGTGCAGCTTGGATGAGTGCAGACACACACACAGCTCTAACCTGCAACTTATCCATGCACGCAGCACAACGCAACATTCATCGTGGACTTGCTCAGAGTTCACATTTGGGGAACTGTTTCAGAGGTGTTTTTTTATGTTAAGTGATTAACCAATGTCAATGTGTAAAATGTGGTACCGTAATATTACATTCTAAAAAAAAAGTTAAGTATGTGAAGGGTTTTGTTTATTAATAACAATCGAAAGTGACTGTTTAATGCAAGTTAAACAGTTTTGCTCAACCTATGTCTAACATTCGCTGATCACATTACAATATTTCTACACGTACTGCTGGATTTTTTTGAAGGTTTAGCTCGATTTATTTCGAAAAGTGTTTCGAATGTTTTGTCATTTACAAAAAAAAAAGGACAGGAAAACATTGGGTTAGTGGACAGAAGAATAGCTCCCGGGACAGCTCTTGGCAACTGGAACCGACTACTCCTGCAGGCAGGAACGAACAGGAATTAAAAACATTCCGGCATTTACACTGAGGCATGTAAGGATTCACCCCTCCAGCGATTCGATTATCACTATTCGAGGTTGTCATTCAAATCAAGAATCAGTTTTGTTCGTTTCATTTTTAATGTCTGATTTGTATTGTTCCTTTGTTCTTCTTGTATGGGTCCCCCTACCACGTTAAATTATGTTTGACGCCGCATTTTGCATGCTATGTAATCGATTGTTACACGTACGATTCGCTGTGCGTATCATGAGCGTAATAATCGATTCTAATCGATGAATCGATGCATCGTTACATGCCTGTTTAACAAGGTACCGCTGGTGATTTGAGATCGTGAGTGTAAAAAATGTGTTGTGTAATGGTGTGTTCCATATACAAATAAGACACTTGTAATATTACTAATTTATTTAAGTATAGAAATGGGAATTGGTGCGGAAAAATTGTTAAAACGGATGGTAACGTGGTCATGGAGGTTTGCATGCGTCCAAGGATGAGTGCAAATGGCTTGGTTGAAGCCTGACTACTGTCATTACAAGAGATCAGCCTTATTATTGAGCTAACTCTTCTTACTCTTATATAAACACAAGGCTGCGTGATGTGAATATCACAAGCTGACACTGAACAGATCAGACATGCTGACAGTAACTTGTATTTGGCCTACTGCTCCATCAAAGTATTTTATTTCTGTTCATGGACTTGGTATTTTTTTTTTCATCGAATACAAGTTATTAGAGAGCTTCTTATTACACTCATCCTTATATATTTCCAATGGAAACAGTTCCCCAGAGTAACTCTTCAGCAACGGGCAAATAAACATGTGAAAAGGGAAAGCTCACAAAGGATGACACCAAACAGCTCATATGCCAGTCCAGGACAATTCATGTGTATGTTTTGGAGAACAATATGGGAATGATGCAGATAAAAAAAAGACATTCAGTGAGGGCCCAATTGATGTAAGTTTCATGAAATCTGAAATATGTGCATGAAGTAATCGTTTGCACGTTATCAGAAAAAAATAAAATCACACCACCCTGCTGTTGAATGCATTCTTTGTAGTAAGTTGCATTTTGGGAACATATAAACGTACAAAACACCGTTTATAAATAGCAGACGTGCAACACGAGGCACAATAAAATGCACAATGACCCAGTACAGGACTGTAGGCTGCCTTCTGCAAACCGTATGCAGTAGACATTAGAAATTAGACGTGTTTTTAAGCAACTGGCTGGGTTATAGAATTTTCCCATGCCTCATTAAAACTCCGATATTAAGCTTCAGTTTCATTTATTAGGTATAACCCTACTCTTTGGTTCTTTCGGTAAAGTCACGTAGGTGAAAAAATTAAAAAATTAAAATATTAAATAAGAATTAAATACATAAAAAAAATAGAAATAACTAAATTAAATCACGATGTTTCGGGCGCAACACAAGCGTCCGTCATCAGGCGGGGACAACCACGTGACTTTATCGAAAGAACCAAAGAGTATGGATCCTTGCAGTCACGAAAACTTCCAATCTAGGTATAACCCTGTGAGCCATGCGGCTCTTGACTCGGGTGCAACTTGACAATAGCTAGCCACAGGCACATAATGTAAAGACATTAAATGTTTGGTGTAATGTTTGAGTTCTTGGAGTTTTTTTTTTGCATAATAAAAAAACAATCCTTGGAATTTCTTTATTTTTAACAATGAAAATTCTAATATTGTTTTTGGTTGTTGCCGGACAGTTACGTTAGTTTTTACTCATGTATATAACTGCCATGGGGAGATCCGCTGAATATAGTTTTTAGTAAAAATAGCATTCTCTTTTCATACTATACAGTAGCGTTAAGAATTTCCAGCACATCCAGTAGATATATCCAATAATCCTCCATACAAAATGAGGACACGGACCGTGATTTAATAATTAAACAGTAGATTCCCCCAAAAATAATAAATCAATACTGCAGAAGTATTTTAAAACACAATTATGGACAAAATGGCCTAGAGGGGGCTTCTCTTTAAGGCGTTTGACGAAGGCAGCCTGCATACGTTTAGCAAATAATGATTCGCAAATAAAAAAACATTTCCAGTGGAGACAAACGAAACAAACATATCTAGATTATAGTTTAAAAAATAAAGTAAGCATGTCATGATTGAACCATGGAATGTATTCATAGTTGAATTGCTACTGCTTCAGAAATTATAATTAAAACATTTTTTCAGTCAGTGACTTGGATTATATTAAAGCATTTCAGCAATCTAACCATCTTCAAAATTGATACATTATTTGTGATCAAGTATTGCTTTATTGCTATTTAATCAAGAAACGCATTTCCACTAAATAAACGGTGAGTGTTTAATAAACTATCTGCAGAATAACGGGTTTGCATATATACTCGTTGGTATGTTGACTCTCTTGCGTAGGTCTTCAAGCCACACAATAAGCCCAATCAAGTGTTGAAGACCTTAGTGCAATCGAGTAAATACGATGTACAAGATTAAGATTGCACGTCTGATTTAAACAGCAGACAAGCAATAACATGAAACTAACACCAGTGCCACGTAACATTCTCGGTCCAATTAACACAAATTTGAACTGACCACATTTAATTTGGGTTAGTTGGAAGGAAAATCGTAAGCTAATTGATTTTATATGCAAATCTAACTTAATTTGCATTATATTTCATTGTAAAAGCTTGGTCTGGATTATAAAGGTATGTGGCGGATGGAATGTCACGTCTCTTCCTCGGAGAAAAAAAAACTAATTTTTACATTTGAGAGCATGATTTAAATTAAATCATTAGTATTTTAGCTTGATTTATTTTTCAAACACAAGTAAAGCACTTGTGTGGTGTAGCTCCTATACACCAGTATAAAAGTGCAGAGGATTGAAGACAATGTTATGTTTTAGGCTAGGGTGCTTAAATTATGCATTTGTTTGTGGAAGTAATGCCAATATATTACCTATGTAGTGCCCTCTGTGTTAATGTTCCAATGCACAAATGTTATTTTTTACAGAAATAACATGTTTAAGGAGTACATTCCAAATAATTCAACATGACATATTTACCCTGCTATTTTTATTCAGGAAGCTCTATTGGTACCAAAAAGATAACAAATAAACACACCAAACACAGCAAACACAAATTACATTTTACTCATGACACATATATGGCTAAATGAATATGACATACATTGAACATGTCAACCATGGTAATATACAATGTTTAAACAAATATATATACTGAGGAAAACAGGATGCACCATTGTGATGAAGTGTGTGTGATGGAGGCCTACGCTTGTTTGGCTCTGTGCGGTGTTTCTACGTTTGAGATGAAGAAGGGGGTAGGTGAGAGTGGGAAAGTAGGGGGAATATGCATGGGGATATATTTTCGAACGTAAATAATCAACTTGTTAAAACCCTACAATGTACACACATTGCATCGGCACAGATGTTCTATGGTTCTGCAGTTTGCATCGTACTCGGGAAAAAATGTGCACGGGACATTCCTTACCTCATTTTGTCAAAATATGGCGGTGATCATTCTCATCTGCTTTTTAAACTACCATAATGCTCATGAAAGCACATTAAATCTATTTATTATCTCGCAGTTCTCGCTCTATCTAGCATCATCACGTAATTAAATTGCATTGTACAATTTGAATTAGTCGAATCTGCATTCAGCTATAGCTTAAGAATGCGGTATAATTCAGAATTGTGTTTAAAGCCTTTATTTACTGCTTCAGTCAAGTTCACTTAAGCAAAACATTTTAAGCCGACAGATATTTAATAAAACTGACATGCTGACTGACATTTTAACTTGTCTGGTGGGCTCTATTAAGCATGATCTAGTAGTATTCTAAACAAACAAATGTATTAACTTTAATTATTACTAATGTTGTATGATTATAACTATGCTAGCGGTACTTTATAAGTGAGGTAGAATGGATACAACTAAAACTGGTGATTGAATCCAGTGTATATCATGTCATCACTTAATACATCTTAGGATGTCGGGCATAAAAAAAAAATCTGTTTGTTTACAGACAAAAAAAGTTAAATATCACCAAAAATGAACTAACCTAACCCACCTGGGCTGGGATCGCACTCTTCCAGGTCCTCATCATCTGTAGGACACTCAGCAGAGGCCACCAACAGATCGTCGCTGATCTGCGGGTATGAAAAGGAAGGGGAAAAAAAACATTGGGTTAGATGAAACATCTTTTTTCTCTGGTGTAAAACAAAATAGTGAACAATTTAGAGGACAGAATAAGTTGCAGACTGAAAATGTTTCAGTTATGGTAGGGTTATAATACAAAAACATTACACCTGGGGAAATAAAAGTATATATAAATACGCTTACTTTATCATTATATAAATAAAAACATGCAATTAGGCAGAGTGCATTCCTCGATGCGAATTACACATAATTGGACCAAATTTTTCCGACATGAAAAAAAAATCCATTGTTTAAAACGTAAGCGCGTTGAAATCATGTGTTGTTTGTGCATCAACTGGATAGTTACGTGTGCACGTTCACAGGAAAGATGGAAGCACTCCAAAAAAATTCGCACAATCACATTTATACCAAACAAATAGAAACTTTTTGTGAAACAATGTCTTCATGGTATCACAATATTTTATTGTTATTTTTACTCTTAGGTTTTCTTTCGGTAAAGTCACGTAAAAAACCTAAGAGTATGAATCCTTGCAGTCACGAAAGCTTCAAATCTATTGTTATTTTGTTTGAGTTGTTTTTTAACCCAACCTTATCAATCTGGACTCTTGCCAATCTTGTGAAATTCGAATATATGGGTGGATGCCGCTTTTTGGCTGAATGCTTGAGGCAGTCTAAATGTTTTAATATTGTTCAGAAGTTGATGAATTCCTATGTGGAATCTACATGAATGGCTCAATGACTGACACTTAAACGAATTAGATCACCCCTCCCTTTGCCTGCCCCGATGAGACGGATCGTCATTATTCATGGTCACGATTCATTTTGAGAATGGATTATTTTAAGGTCTTGTGATGACTGTATCATCATTTATATTCTTATTTTAGTGTCTGGTTTGCATAGTTTTGTTTACTCTGTAAGCCCAAATACAACATCAGCTGATTATCATCACCATAGCATGATACATTCACTGCTGGATGAAGGCCTCCTCATACCTTTGCCATCTCTCATGGTTCTGTGATGTTAAAATTCACCTAGGAACCTGAACATGAGCTGATTTCATCTCCAAATTGTATTTCATTTGCATAAATTGTAAATAATGGGATTTTCATGAGCACAATTGAAAGCATGTTTTGTGAGGGGAAGAAATTATTATAATCGATTAATCAATGCACCATTAGATTCATATCTATAAGAATACTTGCATGAGCCGGGGCATTAATGAGCATGGAAATTCGAAGTAAATAAAATCACTTATATTGTTTTATTTTCACAATTAAATAATTGCATTTAAATATCGTATCATTAGTTGTTCATGCGTCTCAAATAATTATAGTTGTTGACTAGCTTTCTGAATATATATAATTAAAACCTGAATGGTCATGGGACAATACCTTCGAAATCAACTGAAAGTGCCATCATTAACTATGATAATTACTATTTCTAATCAAATAATGGCTGCTTCGTCATAAGCATGTTGCAATTATGCATTCATTAGTTACTGCTAAAATGCTAATATAGTAAAAACATATATAATTTCGGAGGAATCTATATTTTAGATGCGTGTTTTAATAACACGATATGAAATATGTTGTATTTAAGTTGCTGCATCATGCTAAATTCAAAGACTGCAAATACAATATTGCATCGCATTATATTAATATTTTCATCAATTGTGTTAAAATATGACAAAAGCATAACACTCGTGGCTTGGTCAGGGTCAAAATGTATGCTCAACATGAGCAAAGGGCAGTGCTCATCTTTGCTGGTGGCCTTGAGCCAGAAATGATTAAAAAAATCAGTCCCATGGCAAGGGCCAGGATGGCAATGTTGATTTCCCATATTTTATGATGGGTTGAGTTGAAGCCAGATTTTAATTCTCAACCTGCCAAGTGTTTTGAACATGACAGTAGATGACTGGATCGGTTTATGTGTGGCTACTATGTAAGTATGAGAACTGGAAATAAACTGGGCTAATGATGAATGAGAAGAAATTAAAACATCGTGCTAAATATGGATTTTTGTGGTAACGTGAATTAACGACATTTAATAGAAAATGTGTTTTGTATTTACGTAGGACACTATAAAGATTAGAGATGAATGTATATATAAACTTCACAATATGGAAATAAAAGAGGATTGTTTGTGTTATTTGCTGATTTATAAACATGACAACAGAGATGCAGCATTTCTCTGTGGCAAATATAAAGTTTCTCAAATGGTAAATAAAATATAAGTTTAAGAAAATGATAGAGTATTAATTCATTCCATATGCTTTAACACATTACAGATGTGGGTTTCCTGCTGATTTTATATATTTTTTAAATTATAATCTTTGAGCTGTGTATAAGCTCCCTGCTGGAAGCATGACAATCCAGCGAAAGAAAACTGAAGAGTAATTGGGAATGCTATTGTTGGAATTACATTTCAAATATACGGTCCAGACCCAAGTATGATAATATGCTGCAGACGCCATACATGCAACAGGCAGCTATCTTGAAAACATTGTTTCACGCACATGTTGAAAAGCTTAAAAAAAATACATGTGGAGTCCTTTATTTAACTATGATATGGTGTAATGACAATCATAATTTTTAATGTTAGTCTATATAAAGTGGTACAATACATATGTATTATTCTGAAATCGTTTTTATAGTAAAAAACGAGACATTCTTAAATATATATTAAGTAGAAATAATTATATAAAATACATTTTAAGAAGGTACAATTTACTCACAGTGCAGTTAAAAAAAAAGATTTCATATGAATTAGGATGGTGGTGGAGTGGTGGTGCCACGGTTAGCGCTCCATGGCGAGTGCTGAGCACCCCAACACCAACCCGCACTGACCAGCGCAGTGAAGTATGGTCAAACAACACTCATGACGGATTTGGTGTGGGGAGGCCTTCATTCAGCAGTGAATCGACAAAGGGTTTACATTTTTTTTATGCTTAAGATGTATAATTTGCATTTTATTTGGGCCTAAGGTTTGATCAAATTCAAGAGAAAATATCGCCTAGGAGCGAAATTCATTAAATTACGTTTTACCACACCAGCCTTTAAATGTAATAGGCATGTCACCAGATTGTGAGCCCAATATAAGAAGGCCAGATAATTATTGTTATTTTTCGCATTTTAAGTGATGCCACTGGGTGGCTCGACATAGAGAACATGGGTATATAGTATGTTCTCGATGTAGGAAGCCAGATAAAGATATGCCTTCCATGTGATTAATTATGAAGTGCTCACATTTTATGAAAGGGAGAGATCACATTATTCATGAGGTTTACCAAAACACCATCAAAAGTCAACGTATGATAATTGATTTAAAGTTTATTTACAGCACACTGCTATTTTTAAAGTGTCAATATGGAAAAAAGATACCTAATGATTAATAGGAATAAGCATTTTTTTTGTCCACTTTTGGATGGTCTCTCAATGCCATGTCGTTCACTGGGATTGTTTGACTTTACTTCACCACGCTGGTCAGTGCAGGCTGGTGAAGGGGAAGACCCAGATCTGGTTCAAATATCACCACTGATGTAAGCTGTGGCAGGAAATCAAACTCAGGTCACTGGGTTTACATCACAGTGCGCTAACCACTGCACCACTGCAATAAAAAGAGGCATCTGCAAATTAGGACTGCGTATAATTGAAGAGTGCATAGATGGCAAAAAACCCAAGGACTCGCATGTGCCTACCCATCCCTGGTGCCTGATAGGTAGTGCAGCCTCCCTCATTTAATTTCCATTTCCTTGACGCAAGGAGCAGCAAATTTGCCACTTGTCGTAATTGGCTCTTGGCTCGTGCTCTCCCATTCTCACCATCGCTGCACACAATCCGCTTCGCACACTGCCGCCTTGGGTTCGTCACATGACCAGTGGGCACCCTACCGCGTCCCGTTAACAAGAGAGCTGTGGGCAACCCATACCCAACAACACAATTCTCGGCGTGATTTACAATCTGTCAAGCACAAGATAAAAAGTTGACTGCCCTACCTGACCGTCAACCTTATTTTTTCTTTAATGAGAGCTGGTTTTTTCCAACTTTGGAAACCTCCATTACAACTCGTAGATGATAAAATCATAAAAAAACACCAACTCACCTTGTTTATCAGGTCATAAAGGCCAGGGCTTTTTTTTATAAGCATTTGAGAAAACAAGGTGGTAAACAAAAATCTTACTTAAAACAAGCTACATTTGACACCAAAATTATTCACTTAATATAAATAGCATCTTCTTGCTTGATTGAAATTTCCATATAAATAGACATTTATTCCAGTGGAACTGTGGGGCAAAGTATGCAGAATGAAGATGCCATTGAAGAACTCTGCTTTAACAAGCCGATTCAAATTGACGGCTTTGTGCATCACAGCTTTGAATCTTTTTCCCACCGGAGCGAGCGACACACATGGGTGAAAAGCCGAGATAGCACAGCACAATCCTTGGAATCTGCCACGCCTTTGATGAATTATATAGTTCCTCTCTGGGCACCAGAACAAGCCAGCAAACCTTGCACCTCATAACTAATTGCTTCGTGCTAGAAACAAGCGAGCTCAGTTGACGTCATTGTCCCGACGGTGCTGATTGTGTATTCAGAAGTCAAAATATGCCTTCTTTTTTTCTTGTGCATAGAACCTCTAATTTCACCTAACACCGCTTCCCCTGACAGTCCATTATGACATATGGGTGTACACTGGTGGTTTGGAATGGGAGGCACACAGGGGCTACTGGCAGGTTGAGAACAAGGGGTGAGCAAAGCCAGGGAAAAGCGCTAACAAAGACCCGAGGGAATCTGTTTCTCAGACTCGCAATGCCGCACTGTATATATATGCGGCTGTGCTCGATTTCCTTGCAGGGCAAATATTCAGCAACTTCAGATTGCCGTGCTTTCTAAAACATGAGAGCAAAAACAGATTGTCAAAGGAATATAGAGCATGGAATGGGGATACGACCTCAATGTGAAAGAGTCCAAGCTGTAGTATAAATGTCGTG